TCACCTTCTGTAAAGATTATAGCCTTGGAAACTCTATGGGGAAGTTCTACTCTGCCCTTCCAGGTTGCTATTAGTTGGAATTGACTTGACAGCAACATGTTTGATTTGATTTTCAAGAAAGGGAGGGTTATCTTGTGGGCTGTGCATAAACCAATGAACTGGGTGGGGACAAGGACTGGGAGGGATCCTGGAAAGGTCTGTGAACAGAGGCTTCAATTAAAGTAAATATTGTGTGATAGGAAAAAAAAAAAAAAAGAAACAGCACTTTGCATCACTTTACAAATAGTCCTGAGCTTACTAAATATCACAACACATACAAGCGCCCCCATGCCAGGAGGACTACTCAGCCTGTGGAGTACCTTTTAATCACAACTCTTTCTTGCATTTTTTGTTGTTGTTTAACTTGTAAACTTTTAATTTTATCTAAATGTAGTTCAGTCAAAACAAACCAAACTAACTGCCATTGAGTTGATTCTGACTCATAGTGACTTCCTTTGGGTTTCTGAGATGATAAATCTTTTCGGAAGTAGATTTCCCAGTCTTACTACCATGGAGTGGCTGGTGAGTTTGAACCACCAGCCTTCTGGTAAGCAGTCAAATGCCTTAGGCACTGCACCACCAGAGCTCTTGTGATTCAGTCAACGGAGGGGAAATACTTTCTTAAGCTAAGATTAGAGCAGGTTTTGGATGGCCACCAGCTGAATGATAAGCTTGCCTGGTCAGTTCTCCCAGCACTTAAAAAATGTGCCACCACAACTTTCAAGTAATGAAAATACCAAATCCTAAACACCAAAATACAATCCAAGTTCCCTTATCTAGTGTGTTGGAGGCCCAAATCCAGGTTAAACCAGATCTAGTTTTCAGTCCTCCAGCTGTCCCTCATCCCTTTCCTAACTCTTCCTGATAATTCTGGGCAAACGAAAGAGCACTGAAAGAAGTGTTCTTTGCTTTCTAAAGTTTTGGAAATAAATAGTGATGATAGCTTGAAACAACAACAACAAAAAAAAAAAACCCACCAAAAATCCATTTTAGTAATCTAATGTAGGCAGATATCTTCAATCTCCTCTTCCTCTCACTCTCCAAACCAACCAAACTCACAGCCATGGAATCAGATCCGAATCATAGCGACCCCTCCTTGGTTTCCGAGGCAGCATCACTATGGAAAGAGATTGCCCAACCTTCCTTCTGAGGAGTGGCTGGTGGGTTTGAACCGCCAGCCTTCTGGTTAGCACTCAAATGCCTTCGGCACTCTGCCACCAAACCCAGATCACTTGGGTAGACCCATCACTTCTTCCCACCATCCTTACTCTTGCCTCTGATCTCACCTTATCTTTATTCTTTTTTCAAAGATAGGCTTTGTTAAGATATAATTTGCATAATATTACAACTCATCCATTTAAAGTATAGAATTCAGTGGTTTTTAGTATATTCACAAAGTTGTACATCTATCACCACTGTCAATTTTAGACATTTTCATTATCCCAGAAAAGAAACCTTATGCGTATTAGTAGTCACTCCCTACCCCGTACTTCCATCACCCCCACTAGCTCTCACTCACTGCTGTGGAGTCAGATCCAACTCATAGCGACCCTTCCTTAGGTTTCCAAGTCAGTATCACTATGGAAGTATATTGCCCAGTCTTCCTTCTGAGAAGTGGCTGGTGGATTTGAACCACCATCCTTCTGGTTAGCAGTCAAATGCCTTAAACACTATGCTACCAGACCTGCTCCCACTAGCCCTAGGAAAGCATTAATCTACTTTCTATCTCTGTGGATCTACCCTTCTGGACATGTATATAAATGGAATCTTACAATATTTGTCCTTTCACATCTGGCTTCTTTCATCCAGAGTTCATTCTTCAGGGTGACATTCTTGTAGTGTCATACTGATATATGACATTCTTGTAGTGTCATATATCAGTACATCATTTCTTTTTTTATGACTGAATAATATTTCATTATATGAATATACCACATTTTGTTTATCTGTTCATCAGCTGATACACATTTGGCCTGTTTATACTTTTTGGCTTTTATGAATAATGCTGCTGTGAACATTCATGTGTAAGTTTTTATGTGGATATATGTTTTCATTTCTCTTATATATGTAAGAGTAAGTTATATAAGTTGTATATGTAAGGGCAAAATTGCTAGGCAATACGTTAGCTCTATGTTTAACATTCTGAGGAACTGCCAGACTATTTTCCAAAGTGCCCTCACCATTTTACATTCCCACCAGCAGTGTAGGAGGATTCCAATTTCTCTATATCCTTGCCAATACTTTTTTTATTCTAGTGGGTGTGAAGTAGATATCTAATTGTAGTTTTAATTTGTATTTCTCTAATGACTAATGATGTTCAAAATTTTTCATGTGATTATTGGCCATTTGTGTATCTTCTTTAGAGAAATGTCTGTTCAAATCCTTTGTCTACTTTTTAATTGGTTTGTCTTTTTCTTACTATATTGTAAGAATTCTTTATATATTCTGGATACAAGTCCCTTATCAACTATATGATTTGCAAATATTTCCTCCCATTCTGTGGGCTGTCTTTTCACTTTCTTGATGGTATCATTTGCAGCACAAAATTTTTAATTTTGATGAAATCCAATTTATCAATTTTTTATTTCTTTTATTACTTGTGCTTTTGGTATTATATCTAAGAAGCCCTTTACCTAACCCAAAGTCATGAAAATTTACACCTGTGTTTCTTATTTTTATGTTCCTATGTTATAGTATTACATTTAGGTCTATAGTCTATTTCGAGTTAATTGTTATTATATATGGTTGTCCCAGCACCATTTCTTGAAGACTGTTCTTTTTGCCATTGAATTGTTATGGTACCCTTGCTGCAAATCAGTTGACCATAAATATAATGGTTTATTTCCAGACTCCTACTACTGTTCCACTGATCTTTATCCTTAGGTCAGTACCACATTGTATTGATAACTGTAGTTTATAATCTCTTGTCTTTTAAAGGCTATTTTATTGCTGCAGTCTTCCAAGGTAGGACAGGACAGAAATGGACAATCTGGACTTTTTTATTTTCTGGTCTGACTAGAATTTCTAGATTTTCAAGCTTCCAACCACAGTTTATTACTCTTTTGTTCATCTTTATGATGCATCCTCTCATTGGTTTCAGTAGAAGATGATACCCAAGTAGTCATGAGAAATCCCAGGTGCCTGGTCCCTTGGTTTTCCTCTAGCTATGCCAGCTAACCTCATGCTAACTCAGTTGCCTTGTTCTGATGGGCTTTCTCAGATGTATAGAACTAAATATTGGGTTTCGAAAAAGTGCTCTGGTTTCTAAAATTCTCTAGCTGTTAAGTTGGGAATGATACAGCTTACTCTACTGTTAGAAGATTTAAAGATCTTTTCAAAAGGGCATGCAAGTACTCATAGCCTTCCCAAGCGGACTATGACATAGCTGCTGAAGCCAAACCTTGCCTTCCCTGGGCCTTCTTTGCCTTCTAGGGATCTGAAGCCTTGTTTCATGAGCATTAAATTTGCTGTGAGTTCTCTTGTAGGTGACCTGTACTGGTATTTTTGTTGTTAGCTACCATCACATTGACCCCTAACTCATGGTAACCCCATGCATGAAGTGTATTGGCTGGGAATCGAGCCCTTGTCTCCTGCTGAGAAGATGAGAATTCTACCATTGAACCACTGCTGCCTCAAGTCGATATCTTTATGTTGTTGTTATGTGCCTTTGAGTCGGCCCCGACTCATAGCAACCCCTCCTTGGGTTTCCGAGGCAGTATCACTACAGAAGTAGGATTGCCCAACCTTCTTCTGAGGAGTGGCTGGTGGGTTTGAACCTGCCAGCCTTCTGGTTAGCAGTCAAGTGCCTTAGGCACTATGCTACCAGAGCTCCCTCAATATCTTTATAGTAGTGGTGAAATGGAGAACAGGCAAAAGATCTGCCCTGGAAAGCTGGAACCTTAGACAAAGGCACTTATTATCATTTCAAGTTGCTAAGCCAAAACATGAAAAGCTCTTGTGATATTCGGAATTAACAATAACCATCCTGTAATTGCTGCCATTTCTTCCCGTTGTGGATTGTGCGCAGCACAAGCTCACTTTCAAATGATAGGAACTAGAGCTTGCACTATGAACTCTATCATAGTTGAAGCGAATTTTAATTTCTGGTTTGTATCAGACATTTAAAAAAATCTGTAAGGAGAAACTGCTTTTCATCTAGAGCTTGTTAAAGGCTGCGCATGATAAGAGGGTAGGGAAGTGAACACATCTGAAGGCAATGGTGAAGAGAACAGGTTCTGGATCCAGTCTGTGGAACACAGACCTCCTAAGCAATCCTGGACAAGTTACTTAATCTACCTAAGCCTCAATTTTCTCATCTTTAACATGATAAGAGTAGGATCCACCTCCTAGAGTTGTTAAAGGAGCTCTGGTAGCATAGTGCCTAAGACATTTGACTGCTAACCAGAAGGCTAGTGTTTCAAACCACCAGCCACTCCTTGGCAGGAAGATTGGGCAGTCTACTTCCATAGTGATATCATCACCTCGGAAACCCAGAGAGGGGTCTCTATGAGTCAGATCCAACTCAAAGGCAGTGAGTTTGGTTTTTTGGTGTAAAGTTGTTAAAAGGTTGAAAATGTATATAAAGGACCTAGCACAAGGGTTGGCAAACTTTTTCAGTAAAGGACTAGATAGTAACTATTTTAGGTTTTGTAGCCATATGGTCTCTGTCACAACTACTCAACTGTGTTATTGTGGCATGAAAGCCACTGTAGACGATATGTAAACAAGCAGGCATGTTGTGTTCCAATAACACTTTATTTAAAAAAAAAAAAAAAAAACAGGTGGCAGGCTGGATTTGTCTGGCAGGTTGGATTTAGCCTGCGGGGCTGTCTTTTGCTGACTCCTGGCTTAGCATAGTGCCTGGTACATAGTGGGTTTTTCATTAATGTCAGCCATCCTTGTGCTTGGGGACTGCCCCTTGACATGGGTGCCCCTGTTTTCCCGATCCATGTTTTTAACAGAATGTCGAGGTCCTAGCCAGTCGGAGCAGCACTTCAGAACAAAACCAGGCAGGGGCTGAAGTGCGGGTGAAGGCTCTGAAGGAGGAGAATGAGAGACTGAGGGGAAGAATTGAAGAGCTGGAGCGGAGTGTCACCCAGCTTCAGAGCCAGATTGATGACATGGGAGGCGAGGAAGCCAAAATGAAAGAAATGCTTAAGAAGTACGAGGTAAGGCTTGCTGGGCCCCGCATCCTGAGTTTGGCAGCTGCTGATCTTTCTTTCCTCTATGAGTGATTGAAGAAGTGGGAAGGGATTTATTATCATAATTTAGTAAGAAAGGTCAGTGCAATTGTGAATCCATCTTCTGTGTAAGCTGTTTCTTTCATTTGTCAAAGACTGGTGTGAGTGAGAGATAGGCTTCTAAAAAAGCCTGGGAACAGGGCTGATAAGGTCAGGGTGGAAAATATATGACTAAACCCAGAAATCCCCACTCCCCACTTCCTCAGACCTCAGACTTCTGGCCTTACAACCTTGTGATACTTAGCAGAAGGCTCCAAGCACCTGAAAAGACAACCTAACACCACACAAGGACTTTTGTCACCCAAGACTATTTGTTCTTTTTTAACATACAGTTAGTTGATGGTCTTTGAAGTCACATAGTTCTTAACAAACTAATGGTCTGGTTTGGTAGACCTCTAGAAGTGAGAGGCACACCTCATTGGCAGTGAGAAATGGCAGCTGACAATGAAAGTGGGCTACATGTTCCAGCAGAAGTTTCCAAATGTGGTCCTCTCTCAAGATCACCTGTAGGCCTTTTATGAAACTGTATATATCCCTGGGCCCATTCAGTACTTACTATTTCTGAATCTCCAGGAGTGAGACTAGATATTTGTATTTTCAAAAAGCATTTACATAATAATGTGGATGCAACCACTTGGCTAAGAACTGGAATCAGCAGACAGATACAAATGCCCAGGAAAGTGGTGTGTGCCATCTTGGGCCAATGAGTAGACTGTTGTGATCACAGCCATTGCTGTGTCTATAGGTGTCTCCTGTATTCATTTTATTCATAGGCTCAGCACACATTTAAGCACCTGCTGACCTACTGTTTCATTGTAGGGAGAAAAGGAGCAATTAGAAGAGGCCCTTGTGCATGCCAGAAAGGAAGGAAAGGAAGCCATGACAGCTCAAAGGAGCCTGGAGGGTGCACTAGAGGATGCTCAGGTAAACAGCTCAGGCAGCTTCCTTTATTCCCTCTTAAACACAGCCCTTCCGTGGAAGAAAGATGAGGCAATCTGCTTCCATAAAGATTTATAGCCTTGCAAACCCTATGGGGCAGTTCTACTCTGTCCTATAGAGTCACTATGAATTGGAATTGACTTGATGATGGGTACAGGAAGCCCAGAGAAGCAAAATCACAGGAACTTAAAAAAAAAAAAAAAAAAGTTTCCCTCTTACTAGTTCTTTTTCACCTACAAAACCTTCAAACTACTATCCTAGACCATAGGATCTCAACTGGGGGCAATTGTGCCCCCCCTTCCAATCTCTCCAAGCATTTGGAAACTCTGGCTGATGCAAACTGTTAACACACTGAATTGCTAACCAAAAAGCTGGTCATTAAGTCTGCTCAGAGGCATCTTGGTAGGAAGGTGCTGTTGATCTACTTCCAAAAAATCAGCCATTGAAAACCCCACGGAGCACAGTTCTACACTGACACACATAGGGTTGCCATGAGTCTAAATCAACATGATGGCAAATGGTTCTGGTTTAGGGGACATTTAGTAATGCCTAGAGATATTTTTGATTATCACTACTGGATTAGGGGTGCTAGTGGCATCTAGTGGGGGAAAGGCCAGGTGAGCTGCTCCACAGCCTACAGTGCCCAAGACAGCCCACCCAACAAAGAATTATTCATCCCAAAATGTCAATCACACCAAGGTTGAGAAACCTTGCTCTAGACATTTAAGAAATTGACAACTTTACCAAGATAGAATTTGAATTATGTGAGGAGGCCAGCAGAATTGGTCCCCAAGGCAGCATGGAGTTGGCTTTCTGGCAGAAGTCAATTTCCCTTCTCCTCTGGGCAAAAACATTACAGAGAGTGAGTCCTTCAAAATGGCTATTAAAAGGAGAGGCAGGAAGTAGTTTTGTTGAAACTAGATAGCTATCTCTATTAAGAATCAGCTTGTTCTTAGAAAATTAGATTTTCACATTTGAAGGTTAGAAAGATTATTTGAAGTGTATTCTTAAAAAAAAAAAAAAAAAAAAAAAACCAACCCTGAATGGAATTTCTAAATTGACTTGCATAATGCCCTAAGCATGGTCCAAGTCTGTCCTTTCTACCTGCCCTCTCTGGTTTTAAAGGACCCTCTCCCTTGAGTCCCTCAGGTGAATTTCTGAGGCCATAAAAGCCAGTGTTTTTGAGGACTAAGAGGAAAGTTGTTAAAGTTTTCCATTAGAGAGCCACTTGTGTGAGTGGGTGGGGGAGGGAGAGAAAGGTTGAGGAACAGTAAAAGTGTTAAGAACTGAGAAGCAGTCAGAATTCAGATTTTTTAAATTAGGGCTCTTCTTTTCAATATGCAGCTTCATCTCCTAGGTGTGCAGGAGAGGAAGCCCATGCTTATACTAGGATTCACACAGGTCAGCCATAACCTAGGCTGACGATTTCCTCTATTTCTTCTCCCTGGCCATACCCCTTTTGCCCAGATTTTGATAAAGCACTTATTTTGTTTGCTTATAAATTTTATTGTTGTAAAAATACGTAACAAAAAGTTTGCCATCTTAACCATTTTTTAAAAATTTTATTGTGAGGAAATAAAAATTTAAAAAGCATTTGCCACTTCACCCATTATTAAGTATATAATTCAAAGGCATTAATTACTTTCACCACATTGTACTGTCATAACCACTATCCATTTCCGAAAATTTTCTATCACCCCAAAGAGAAACTTAGGACCCTTTAAGCAATAACTCCCCATTTCTGCCTCCCCCACCACCTGGTAACCACAAATAACCTTTGTATACACTTAAAACTCTTGTTTTCTTCTTTGTTGTCTGACTGCTCCAACTTTGGATTTCTTTTTCTTTAATTCTAGATCTTTTTTTTACAAACTCTTGATTGGTGATTTTATATAGACACCAATTTCACTGTGCTGCACTTTAAGGCTTGTGATAGCTACTGGTACCCAATCCAGCTGTCAAAATGCTAGGTTTAAATTTGGGAGCTGTTTGGGGTCAGAAAGAAAGGAGAAACATTTGTACCACAGAGACAGAATTCTGCATCTTCACATCATGTCCACATCAAGCACTGGGTGCAGCAATTATAGTCTCTCATCCTTTGTCATCCTTTGATCAGACAATAAAGGTTCCCACTTATGGAAGCAGTTCACCAGCTGTGAAACTGCAGCTAATATTTAATTCAGCGTATAGAACAGATAGATGATGGCTTCAAGGCGTAAAATCTTAATGTAATCCCCACCTACACCCACCCCTCAGATTTCCTTCCTTGCCTTGGAAATTATCTCTGATGTGTGACTTTTGTTGAGGCCTGTTCTCTCAGCTGTGTAGAGATGGTGAGAACATGTCATGCTGTGTGTGGCCATGCTAACCACTGGCAATACAATTTGGCAAGAATTTGAAATGGGCTCTGACAATCTTGCCATCTTTATCTGAATTCTCTGTTCTCAAAAGTTGTTGATGTTGTTATTAGCTGCTGCGGCATTGTCTGTCGAGTTGGCGACCCCATATACAAAGGAATGGAATGCTGCCTGGTCCTGCACCATCCTAATGCCATGAAAAGCCCACAGTTATTGTAGAAGAAACACATTGTTTTCTCTGAAATTCAGGAACCAGATAATCAGATCCTTTCGTTCAATAACTCTGCATGCCTCTCTTCCTACAGCTGACAGTCAAAAGGGAGCTTAACCCTTGGATGAGGAAGAAAGCATAATTGGTATTTATTTATTTTCCCCCACACAATCATTTTACAATTCAACATCTTTGTACATTTAGCATTCTATTCATCTTCATGTGTAATAAATCTACTATCTCTTTACATATAACTGCAGACCATAGTGAATTTATGTCTAATTACCATGATTTGGTCAAAAAGTGGCAGACAGTCCATAAAGAAGCCGGTGTAGTGTGTAAGGCACTTGACTGCTAACCAGAAGGCAGGCAGTTCAAACCCACCATCCACTCCTCGGAAGGAAGGCTGGGCAATTTACTTCCATAGTGATATCGCCTCGGAAACTCAAGGAGGGGTTGCTATGAGTCGGGTCCAACTTGATGGCACATAACAACAATAACAATTACCACTTAGTTTAGGATTGGGATACTATCTGAGAGTACTTGAAATGCATTTAAGGCAAAGATGCCTGTGATTCCCTTTAGATTCTGCAGATGAGAAGATGAAGGTACCTTTGCTGGAGAAGTCACGATTCTTTCATTCAATGATTGATAGTAGTATATATTCTTTATCCCTTCACCTCCCACCATATTGGATTTTTGTAAATTGAAACAACAGAGGAAAAGGGCCCCATGTTTCCACAGTTGCAATCCAGTTATTGTGTTCGGGGCTCCGAGAAAACCAGCCTCCTCCTGATCAAGCCATTCATTCCTTTGAGCCCCTAGAATCGTTTGCAACCTGGTTGGATTCATACGGTTTGGTCTGGGTCTTGCTTGGTCATATAATAAAAGATTCTGCATCCACTGACAGATAATGGTTCCCAAATTCAGGGACAGCATACATTGTGTCTTGAATTTTCTGATATGATACACTTCTCCTAAATTTTTGTACTGTTATCAATGGACTTGTATCATTTGTCTTAGAAATAGATTTGCTGTAGCTACAGAACATCTCACTCCTAACAATGCCCACATGAAGGGTTAAAAAAAAAAAAAGCCCAAATTGCCAACTTTACCTCTTTACGTGAGTTTGGGGCATGTTTTCTCAACAATGACTTACTGAAACCTATTTCTTGAATATTCGTAGGGGCAGAACTTTTTTCTAAAACACTGTTTCTCATACTTTAGAATATATTAGAATTATCTGGATAACTTCTAAATTTGAGGGCCACACTCTAAGGAAAATTGCGATTAAAATGGAAAAGGGTTACATTTACATTTTAAATAAGGGCTACCTAGTCCACATGCCCCTGGTGATTCTGACAAAAGTTTTCAGACCACTTTTGGGGATATGTATTAATTTTCAACCACTGAGTTTTTGTTTTTGTTTTTTAATTAAATCATATGCCCAGTGTTGAACCTGGGTTTGCAACATACCCAGATAGAAAATCTATCCTTTGCTTTTATAGTCTTAAAATAGAAACAATACTTTGACATAGAAGCAACCATACAAGAAATATTAAAAAAATAATTTAGCAAAACTATGTTTCAAAGCAAATGTGTGTGTGTGTGTGTGTGTGTGTGTGTTGAGGGAGAAGGTGGTAGTAGCCAGGCACCAGGCCCAGAGCAGTGAGTCTGTGGTGTTCTCAGTGCATAAGAGGGCCAGGTGGAAGCCCTTCCTGAGCAAAGGGTAAGGCAGAAATTCACAAACCATAGGGAGGTTGAAGGAAGATTGGCTTGTGTGCTGACATGGATTGCCTGGGATTGGGATCCAAGAGGAGAGATAAGAGATTGGCAGGATCCATAGGGGAAAGAATTGAGTTGCATCCTGAAAGTTTCACAGTCAGCTATTGTTTGTCCTCTATATTTGTTGTTTTTCAAGCATTTTTGAGTTATGTGATCCTGAGAGTTTTCTCCTATACAGCAGATCATTAATAACATAACTCCTCGTCCTTAGCCTGTTTCCCTTTTCCCACCCCTACACCCACCCCCCACAAAAAAACCTCATTGCTGTGGAGTAGATTCTGACTCATAGTGACCCTAGAGGAAAGAATAGAACTGCTCCAAGGGTTTCTAAGGCTGTAATCTTTATGGAAGCAGACGGCCACATCTTTCTCCTGCAGAGCGACTGGTGGGTCCAAACTGCCAACCTTTTGGTTAGCAGCTGAGAGCTTAACCACAATACTAGCAGAGCCCTTCTTTCTCCCTCTACCACTAAATAAACCACCAACAGAAATCCCGGAGGTCAACCCTTCTACTGATGTGTGCCCAGCTGTGGCTGTGGTGGGATACACACCTGCTAATAGCCCCCACGCTGAACCTCTGATTACCTTCCTTTTACCACCTTTTTTTCCCCAACCACTTTTGTTGACCTTGGTTCCCTGCAGCAACTAACTTCAGCAGCCCGCCTGTGTTGGCTGGCTCTCAAAGCACAGTCTACTGATCAGAACAGAGGCTGGAAGGCCTCCATAGGAGTTTTTTTTTTTTTTTTCTGGTCCTAAGCTCACGTGTTTGGCGGAGCAGAGCTATTCCTGTGCAAACCAGAAGTGCTGAAAGTCATTTGGGGCTGTTTTCAAAATGTCTGCGTTATTGCAGGTGGCAGCAGTTTGTAAACAGTTAAGCACTGTACAAATATGAAATCATTATTTTTATGTGGCCTCAATAGGGAGACAGGATCTAATAGAGTCTCCACAGTAACTGTACTAACCCACATCAGACTTCAGCCTCTGATAACATTTCCTAGATGATCTAGTCTGTGTTTGGATAATGTTCCCCTGCTCTCAGCTATGCTCCTTCTTGATAACCTTCACACTGGTAACCCCAACATTTACTTGTTTAAAGAAGCTACCTTCCTAACCTATTTTAAGATTTTGTTTTGGAATTGCATATTGTTTATATGAAGGGCTTCTTCTGTCTGTGTAACTTTGTGAGGTGAGATATTCAGGGGAGCCCAGGGAAAATACCTCACCCAAAATGATTTCATTTTATAGTATGTATTCTGTGCTGCTTCTCCAAATAATCATACATATGCACTTTTTCTGGGAGCTCTGGTAGCATAGTGCCTAGCACTTGACTGCTAACCAGAAGGCTGGTGGTTCAAACCCACCAGCCACTCCTTGGAAGGAAGGTTGGGCAATCTAGTTCCATAGTGATACTGCCTCAGAAACCCAAGAAGGGGTCACTATGAGTTGGGGCTGACTTGACAGCACATAACAACAACAACAACAACAACACTTTTTCTAACTAGTGTTTCTTCCATTTAACATTATTTTCTATTCGTCAAAGGAGCTCTGGTGGTGCAGTAGTTAAGCACTGGGCCGCTAACAGAAAGGTTAGTGGTTCAAACCCACCAGCCACACCATGGGAGAAAGATGTGGTAGTGTTCTCCTATGAAGATGACAGCCTTGGAAACTCAGTGGAGCAGTTCTGTGCTACCCTCCACTATCATTATGTAGCAGAATTGACTCAGTTGCAATGAGTTTGGTTTTGGTTTTCTATTCATCAATATGTGGGGCTTCCCAAGTTCCTTTTCCTCTGTATCTGAGTCCAACCCACGGATTCTGTTGATTACAACTCCTTCCCCACAAGTGGACTCTTGGCTTGTGGGACATGGTTCTCTTCCCATATGGATTCATTTTTAGCTATTTCAAGAACCATTTGCAGAGCAGATTAAATTCTAGACTATAAGTGCAATGCTATATAGCATAGGATATATTGCCAAGAGAGTTTAAACTACTTGCTTAGGAGTCAACTCCAACTCATGGCCATCCCATGTGTGTCAGGGTATAACTATGCTCCTTAAGGTTTTCAGTGGTTAATTTTTTGTAAATAGATTGTCAGGTCTTTTTCTGAGGCACCTGTGAATGAACTTGAATGCCAATTTTTTGGTTTACAGCTGAGCACATTAATCATTTGCACCACCCAGGGATCCCATCTCAATTTTTGAGCATGAAAATTCAGAATTTCAGTCACTCTCCTGAATTGCCCTGGTGATTTAATGGGTAAGACATTTGGCTGCTAACCAGAAGGTTGGTGGTGCAAACTCAGCAGCTGCTCTATGGTAGGAAGATGAGATGATCTTTACTTCCATAAAAATTTGCAGCCTTGGAATCCCAATGGGGATCACTATGGGTCGGAATCAACTCAATGACAGTGGGTTTTTGGTTCTCCTGAATTGCCAGCACCAACAGCCTTGACTGTTGTCTGTATTTCTGTGATACACCCTTTGTCTTCTCCTTCATTCCTATATATGTTTTTGGTCAAGTCAACTGTCCTTTCCTGTCCTTGAATTTCAGAACCAACAATGTTCTTGTGTCTCTGTGATGGCTTTATTTTGATTTTTCTGTCTGTCACTGATGTAACAGTTCTGGTTGCTTTGTGGTGTGGCTGTGAAATTCTCTCTGCCACCTGTTCCTGTGGCTGACCTGATAGGTAGGTGACAGCACTGTCCTTTCCATATAGAGAAATCTGAGTTGGGCCACTCAGGAGCAGAAGCAGTTGTCTGAGAAACTAAAAGATGAGACTGAACAGAAGGAGCAATTGAGGAGGCTGAAGAATGAAATGGAGAATGAACGATGGCACCTCGACAAGACCATCGAGAAACTTCAGAAGGAGGTAGGGGAAGTGAATAAGGGGTAGGTGGAGGGCATAGCCTTTTTGCTAGGACCCAACCCCCTTTGAGGGTTTGATGAAAGCTTAGGAAGCATGCAGTTATGTCTAAATGCAATACTAGGTATATGTGTCAGGGATTTGCTGATCCCCTGAAACAGCTCTTTGAACTTTTTGAGATTCCCAGATACAGAGAATCCAGCCTAGAAGAAATAAATGCTAACACCCTCAGGATTCTGGCTCAGTTTCTTTAAAAACTAGTTGAAGTTATCTGGCATATAAGTGTAGACTTAACAAATGTTCCTCAAGTCAGAGTCTAAGTATTCATGGCTTAAGAGTTGGTATCTATCTTTCTTGTCCAGTGTGTAAAGGACAGATTCATAGCCCAGTAGTTGCTGCTTCTCTGCTCTGGTCCACCCTCAGATACCCAGAAGGGAAAAAGCACAAAGCTGATGTGCTCCATGCATTCTAGGAGCTGACAATAGTGACTGCCAATTTTTGACACCTATACTGTGTGCCAGTCACTTTACTAGCTATTTTGTATCTACGTAGAATTCTGTCTGTATCTGTAGATTGTTATTATTCTGACAACAGCCCTACAAGATAGATATTATGGTTTTAGTCTTTCCAATGAGTATATCACCAAGGCCAAGAAAGATTAAGTACATGCCCCAGTCAACATAGCTGGTAAGTAAAAAAAACATCAGGGTTATAAACTCTGGACTGTGTATCTAGCTCCAAAGATGTGCTCATTCACTCCTCCATATTGCTTCTAACTCACAGGTGCTCAGACATAGGTAGCTCATGACCAGGTGCTTTGCGAAGCCTTTGGAAAGGCTATAGAAGACAGGGAGAGAAAGAGATGCATTCTGTACTTAAATGGATCCCAAACCTCTCCCAGATAGAGCATCTTAGGTGGGCTCACACCTGTGCCACTTCTTCTAGATGGCCGATATTGTTGAAGCATCCCGCACGTCAACGCTGGAGCTCCAGAACCAGCTGGATGAGTACAAGGAGAAGAATCGCAGGGAGCTGGCAGAAATGCAAAGGCAGTTGAAGGAGAAAACCCTGGAGGCAGAAAAGTCCCGTCTGACAGCCATGAAAATTCAGGATGAGGTAATGCCTGGCTACCTAAGTGCCTGGGTCTACTGCTTATTCAAAGAATCCTTTGAGATTGCTTTGAAACTCTTCTGTGAAGGGTTTGGGAGTAGATTCTCAAAATAGGTTCTGTGCTAAATTCTTCACTGTTAACACTCTGGATGGTTATATGGGGAGATGGCATTCTAAGACATAGAGAACCATTGAACACTGAGGTGAAATTGATATACCTTTACATTTACATTTTCTTGATTAGTCCAAAATTTCTGCTTAACGTATTTAGTAACCCAAAAGGGCAACATTTGCTCAAAACCAAAGATGAGAAAGCAGGAAGGGACAGGGAAATGTGATGACTGGAAATGGGGAACCCAGGGAGGAAAAAGGGGAGAGTACTGACACATTGGAGGGATTGCAGCCAATGTTATGGAACAATTGTGTATGAATTATTGATTGGAAAACTTAACTATGTATGCTCCCATCTAAAGCACAAGAAAATGTTTTTTTAAAAAAAGTTTAGCTACCATTTATAGAGCATCAGTTGTGTGCCCACCTGTCCAAAAGATTTATAGGCATTAATATTTTAATTTAATCTTAGAACAGGGAGTGTGGTAACTGACTGTTTTTTGCCATTCATTTTTTATAAGAGAGATTTTTATTGGAGTGGTGAGTGATGGTCAAGGATTTTATAACAATAGTTTTATAACCAAAAGAAATCCTCAAGAATTTATGAATACTTAAGTTTTTTAAGTGTATTCTTGGTTTTACATTTAAGAACAATGGGGCAAAGTATCCAAATGTTTAACAACAAAAACAACAACAGTTGCCATGGAGTTGGTTCTGACTCATGGCGAACCCATGTGTGTCTGCGTAGAAATGTGCTCCACAGGGTTTTCAGTGGTGGAGTTTTTCACAAGCAGATTGCCAAGCCGTTCTTCTGCAATGCCAATGGGTTGATTGAAACCTCCAAGCATTTGGTTAGTAGCTGAGCCTTGTTCACTGCACCACCCAGGGACAACCCAAATCTTAGGATCCTTAAATCTTAACTCCCTAAAAAGCTAAGAAAAATAAAGGGAACATTTTTGATGCTTTTAATGAAAAACTGAAGGCTCTAGAATGTAGGTACAGCATACACTGATTTCTTCAGCTATGCCTCTTACTAGGAGCTCTGGTGGCATAGTAGATAAGGCATTTTGCCCCAGAAGGTCAGTGATTCAAACCCACCAGTTGCTTCATGGAAGGAAGGTGGGGCGATCTACTTCTGTAAAGATTTACAGCGTCAGAAACCCAGTGGTGGTCATGATGAATTGGAATCAACTCAATGTCAGTGAGTTTGGTTTGGTTTTGATTTATGACTCTTACTAGCTAGGGGACCTTAGAACAGTTTACTCCAGTTATCTGAGCATCCATTTCTACTTCTTTAAAAGTATACAAAATGATTTAATAAATGAGATAACATGTGAGACTAAGACTATGTAGCAGAAGGTCTTTATATCTTGAACACTTAATTAAGGTTAACTTCTCTTCTTCTGGTGGCATAGTGATTATTATAGCATTTGATTGCTAACCAAAAGGTCAGTGGTTCTAACCAACCAGTGACTCCACAGGAGAAATATGAGGCAGTCTGCTTTTGTAAAGATTTACAGCCTTGGAAACCCTATGGGGCAATTTCTACTCTGTTCTGTAGGGTTGCTATGAGTTAGAATCAACTTGATGGCAATGGGTTTCATTTTTCTGTTTTTCCTTCTTCAGTTCTGAAGCATTTTTTTAAAAAAAGTGTTTTTATTTTTTCTAAATTTTAAACAGTGTCAAGACCACTAAGATTCCACAGGAAAACAACTTCTTTACAAAACAAACTTTTTATGTCTTTGATGATCAAAGAAAAGTCACCCATGAGTCAGTACTAAAACTGTCTAAGAGAACAATGGATATTTATTACAGACTTCTGGAACACTTCTGAAGGAACCCTGATAACAGATCCCCTGACTCAGGTTACAGGGTACAGGATTCAAAGTAGTAATTGGAATTAGCACATTCACATCACAATTCTTTTTGGCATTACAAAAATAATAAATCATTTTTATTTCTATAGCAAAGGCGTGGAGAGATTCAGAAATTTGCCAGAACACCAATAAGCACTTGGTGTTCTGTTCTGATTAAAAAAAAAAATCAATGTCACAGTGACCCCTGCAAAGTGCTTCCCACTGCTTTTTGTATAACACTGTCATCCTAGAATCTTTGGGTTGCGAGGAACCTTAGAGATCCTCTAGTTAGATAAGTACTGAGGGCCAGAGAAATTAGTTGAGGGCCAGCGAGATTAGTAAAGACCAAATTTGTTAATGTTGTTGTGTTGTTGTTATGTGCCATGGAGTTGACCTGACTCATAGCGACCCCTCCATGGGTTTCCTAGGCGGTATCACTACGGAAGTAGATTGCCTAACCTCCTTCCAAGGAGTGGCTAGGGGGTTTGATCCGTCTGCCTTCTGGTTAGCAGTCAAGTGCCTTAGACACTACACCACCAGAGCTAATAAAAGAGCAATAATTCGAAAAAGGTTTCTTCACAATGAAAACAAAGATGGCTTTTCCTAGATTTTCTTAGTGGCATAGCCCTGTAAGAAACTGTTTTTCTTTGGCAGAAATAGATACCTCATCACTGAAGGGAAACTGGTCAGACATATCCCTTGATCAAACTACTGAAATCATGAAGTTGTTTACAACAGCAGTGAATTAACAAGCCAAGGTCATTCTGGATCCTTGAAAAACTCAAATTCAACTCTGTTCACAACCCCATGTATGGGTTGAGCTGAGTTAGAGCTCAGTTAAAAAAAAAAAAATCTTTAAGGGTTCCAACTTAAACCCTGTAGTATTATTTTGATTTGAAATAAACAGATACGTTAAACTTTTCTCACTCGTCTGCCTAAACTAGCCTAACCTATTGGATCTCCAAAGAAGCACTATTTCTGAGGCTTCCTCAACTTTTATGTGAAAATCACCCCATAAAGGTGATAACTAAATGGATTTTGCCACTTTCATATACTGCTTAAAGGGAATAATCCCCGGTATTCCTAAAAATGTAGTTTCATCCATTACCTTTTATCATCTCCAGGACTGTAGGAAGACAGAACAAAGCAGACAGCCTTGGGCTTCACCGAATCCATTCTCACAGATGTTTAAGGAATACCCATCATGTGCCTGAGTTGGCTGGGCTTCTCAGGCAGATTCTAGGGAATTGGATCAAAGCTCTTTTGTCTGAGATACTTTATTTAAAACTATTAGTTCACTGCCACCTTGTGGAAGAAAAAACACTGTAAATTATGACAGCAGTTACATCATTTTCTTCTACAGAGCAGTGCTTTTCACCTAAAATGCATTTGTACATTGTTTAGTTTTGTGCCTGTGGGTTGCTTTGGAGTCATTAATTTACTTTTTCTTTCCCCTGAATTTTACACCTTTCTTTAGGTGATGCTGATACAGATGGACAATAAATCACACTATGGGAAGCCCTTATCTAGTTCATTGGCTTTCAAGTGTTTCTTAACCATCACCCATAGTAAGAAATACATACTACATTGTGACCCAATAATATATAAATCCATAAAATATATATTAAAAATGTCACAAAGTAATATTTGCTTATATTCTTCTTCTTCATTTTTTTTCCCTCTGTTCTATTTAATTATAAAAATTCTGGTCAATATCTGCTAAACAGAATTTAAAACCCAATAGGTTGCTACTTGCAATTGGAAAATGCTGATCTCATCCAACCCCTTCTTTTTATAGAGAAGGAAACTGAGGTCCAGAGGGAGGTGGGATTTGCTCAAGGTCTTCTGATCTCCAGTATGGAGCAGGGGATCTTCTCTCCTTAAGGGTCAGTCTGTATACTGTCTGTTAGGATCTTATCTGAGAAAACCACCCCAACTCCTTCTCATTCCAGATGCGCCTGATGGAGGAAGAATTACGAGACTACCAGAGATCTCAGGATGAAGCTGTCACGAAAAGGCAGCTTCTGGAGCAGACACTGAAGGACCTGGAGTATGAACTGGAGGCCAAGAGTCACCTCAAAGATGACCGCAGCAGACTTGTCAAGCAGATGGAGGTTTGTGGGCCAAATAAGTGAGAGCTGGGTGAGCCTTTGGAAAACGAGTGTGGGACATGAGTGGGCAGCCTCTCTGCTTATACCTGTCTTTGGAAATCTTCAGTTTTTATTTTTTTGAACAGGCAGATGTTAGTAATATCATTTCTTGATTTGGGAAGAAACTGGTAGATTATAGACTCACTGGACATTAGAGCCAAAAGGAGTGGTGGAAATAATTTAGTCCAATGTCTTCCTTGTATTGAGAAGGAAGCAAAACTGAGTCCCAAAGAGGATAGAAGATTCTCTGTAAGAGCACATAGACAGCATGTGTTCTGCTTGTTGCTTTGGAAGCGCTTCCAACCATAAAGGAGACAAAACTGCTGCATATCTGTTGTTAACTGCCATCGAGTCAACCCATTCTCGTGGTGATCCCATGCACAGTGAAAAAAGAGGCTGCCCAGTCCTGCACCATCCCCATGATTGGTTGTGTATTGCACCATGTGATCCCTAAGGTTTTCATTGGCTGCTTCTCAGAGGTAGATTGCCAGGCCTTTCTTTCTAGTCTTAGTCTGGAAGCTCCTCTGAAACCTAGTAAGCATCATAGCAACACACAACCCTCCATTGACAGGTGGGTGTTGCACGTAAGGTGTACTGGCTGGGAATTGAACCTGGATCTCCCTCATGGAAGGCGCAGATTCTACCACTGAACCACCACTTCCTTGCTGCATGGTAGAGAGTAGCCCAAACTGCCTAAATCCTAGGCACAGTCAGTGCTCATTTGCCCACCATATACTCCATTCTTGTTTCCTATTTCTGAGGCCCCCACCTTTTTTTCCCTCAAAGCTGATGGGAAACTCTGGCTTAATTTATTTTTGTATGCAGAGTACACAGCCCAAGACAGTATTTCATAAAGACTCAGTGGAGTCACTAGATAGGAGTGACCTATTGCAAAATGAAAACAGAACACATTAGAAAAACGTTAATGAAGGAATGGAATCTAAATATGAACAGTCTACTGGTAGTGACAGGAAGAACCTTAAAGTCAGTTCACCTGCACTTAGAGTAGTCCTCAAGAAATAAACCAACTCAGCACCTGAAACATCTACAAACACACCACACTCCCTCCCAACCCCTCACACACACAAACAGGATTTTGAGAGGGAAGGACCTAAAAAATAAGTCTTACACATACTGGAGAAGTGAAAATTGTCAAGGTTTTGATAAAAGACAGACAGCGCTCAAGGCCAGTGAGAGATGGCTTGAATGTAAAGTCAAAGGAATTCCTGATTCAGCTTTGCAAATAAATAGCAATAACTTTTAAAAACCTCCAGGGGACTTAGTTGCAGTTTATATCTAGGGAGTGATGTTTCAACCATTAAAGATTTTATTAGACAGACCCCTTTTAAAGACTAGAATAACTGGGTTACAGTTTTCTTATTCTTTTGTAGGATTGCTACACATTTTGTAATTGCTTCTGATCTCTTTAGGGGAGATCATTTTAAGGCAAGTTAAGGTCAATCATAGTCTAGAAACTGGATTATTCTAGGGCTCACACCATCTGGTTAAAAGTGAGTTAAGAAGCCCTGGGGTAAAACCTCTGTCCTGGAACACCCCTGAACACTCCTGCTAGATTCTGAATGTATGAATTTTACACAGGAGAGCCCTGTGAAGAGGTGCTACTATCTGAAGACTGGGTTGTTAGCTCATCGCTTTCTAGAACACTCTGAATAAAAAGAGCATTTCCTTTTGCTGACTTAAGGTCTAAAAGCAGTGGCATGGCTAAGCTTTATTTGCCCCTATCCAATATTTTAGGTATTTCTCCATTAATTCTAAAAATGAATAGCTCTCAAGGCTCACCCCTGTGAAAAGCACTTGAGGGTTATTTCCCCCTCTAAGAGGGAACTCTGGTGGCACAGTGGTTAAAGTACTTGGCTGTTGACTGAAAGAGAAGTGGTTCAAACCCCCCAGCCACTCCTCAGGAGAAAGATGAGGCAGTCTGCTTCTGTAAAGATTACAGCTTTGGAAACCCAATGGGGCAGTTCTACTCTGTTCTATAGGGTAGCTGTGAGGTAGAATTGACTCCATGGCAATGCGGCCCCACTCCTAAGGGGACAGTATGCAACAGCTGGCAGGACTGCTGTGATATAACTGTGTCTTGCCTCTTCCTTTGTTAGCACTTAATTTCAGATGGACATTTTCTGTAAACTCAAAAACTCCAGTGGCTACTGTACATATATACAACATGTGTAGAGCCTTAGTGATGTTTGACTGTAGTGAAGCCAGCCTTGGAGGAATCGGGAACCACTAAAAAACAGGTAGCTTCTGTGCAGGGTCCAGACCCATGTTCTCACTTGGTCTTTGGGACTCTCTGCTCCTGGGAGAGAGCAATGCAGCTTCCCTATAGTTTTCTAGCTCTAATGGGGAAGACCATTCACAGACATTTAGTCATTCACGTGAGTTCTGTGAGTTTTATTTTTGGTTCTTACAGAGGCATCCGTAGCCTGTCAGTCAGCAGCGGCCGCTGCAAAAACAATATTTAAATGCACATGCCACAGACGTTTAATAATTCACAATGCCAATTGCTGTCTAGAACCTATAGCTCTGAGTTAACCCTAAACTTGGGACAAATGGATTGTTGACTACAGAGGAGTACCACATGCACAAGCCCTATAACCTAGTAGTTCCGGGCAGAGTGGTTTGTGTTAGAAGTCTCTTCCTTCATGCACAAAGCTACTTTGAAATATGTATTCCTTAACACTCAGTGATGTTGAGTTAGGAGAAAGGAAGATGCACATTATAATTCTTCTGCGTTGATTGATTTAGCAGCATTGTCCAGAACTATTACTATGTTAAAGGGGCCTTGGTGGTGCAATGGTTAAGCTTTTGGCTGCTAACTGAAAGTTGGTGGCTCCAACCTACCAACTGCTTCATGGGAGAAAAGATCTGGTGATGTGCTCCCACAAAGATTAGAAACAAAACCAAACTCACTGCCGTCAAGTACCAACTCATAGCAACCCCCGTTGGGTTTCCAAGGCTGTAAATCTTTATGGAAGCAGAATGGCTGGTGGGTTCAGACCACAACTTTTTGGTTAGCAGCCAAAGATTACGACCTAGGAAACCCTAAGGGGCAGTTCTACTCTGTCATAGAGGGTTGCTGTGATGGCACACAGCAATGACAGTATCACTATGTTAATATGATGCAGGTTTAGTGCAGTACAGAGTGTATAGGGTTCCTTAGAAGAAAGAGGCAAGTGCAATAGACTTACAAATTTTACTCTTACAAGATTCTTGGAAACCCAAGCAGGAGCGAGGTCAAACATTTTCCTGGACATGAAGCATTTAGAGAAATGTGACTTGGATGATATCTCAGCCCCTGCATTGTCTTTGAACAGGTAGCTGGCTTAGGTAGATCTGTTTACGCTTCTAGATTCATAGAAGGGAAAAAAGCTTGAAGGAAAAATGCGAAAATATCTTTAGTGTTTACGTTAGTGTTTAGGGTAATGTTTTTTCTTTCATATAGTTTATAAATTTTCTGTAATATGTACTATTATATTGTACAGTGTCAAAAAGGGATAAAATACATAATTTTATTTAAAAGGTCTGCGTTAGGTAGTGTACAAAATAGGCACATACTTTTGCCAAATCCTGCTAATACTAAGCTCTCTTGGAGTTTTCTTTGCACACATCAGTCCTTGCTCCTAATCTGGGTCATTGAAAGTTATGTGGGCTTTGTTTGTGACTTCTTTCTTAGGACAAGATGTCTCAATTAGAAATGGAATTGGAAGAAGAAAGGAACAACTCAGATTTGCTGTCTGAGAGGATCTCTCGGAGCAGGGAACAGGTACTGTACTATAGTTGAATGATGAATGGGTTGTGCTTAATGAAAAAGGAAGTGTGAAAGGTTAAACCTGAGGATTCAGCCAGAGGAGGGAGATAGTTCATGCCATTTGGAAAATGATGAACAATTGAGTAGTCTTCACCTTAATAAACCAATGGGTAGGAGGTATAATAAATAATATATTTTGGTCCTGAGAGTGAAGGAAATCTAACTCTTGGTTCCATCTTTCTTCACCACTTGTCTGTTCCAGGGATGTACTAAAAGCATTCCTCTGGAGGGACTGCAGCTTGAAGTTTAGAAGAAGGACCTTCATGAAAGTCAAAAGTTAGGATAAATATCCTAACCTTTACATTTGAACCCTAATTGGTTCTCATTGCGATTTATCTTTTCTAACTTCATTCGCAGATACACATCTATTTTGTTAGGAGTTCCAGCTAGTTTGGCTAAGTAGGCAAATTAAGAAAGGACATTTCAGGATCTGCTAACATTCATGATAACAGAAAAGGTGACCATGACTTAGTTTTGCTGATGCTTCTTGTGAATTAGGCAAGGAGCAATGGTGGCAAAATACGTTATCCTGTCAGTAACCAGGCAGTAAAAATAGACTTCCAGTCCCATGTTTTAAACCAAAAACAAAATGTGGGAGAATGTGGTTGCCTTCTTGGCACTAAGAGAACTGGTCATTTACATATGGTCCCAGGATGGCCCTGGGACCTCTTCTCTTTCTTCTCAACTAAAGCCTTTGATCATGAAGAGTAGAACTGCTCTCCATTCTGTGGGGTGGCTGTGATATGGTCAAGGTTGAAAATATTTCCACTGAGTCAAGCAAGCACTTGAAGTAAGCCCAGGAAGGAAGTTAAGGTAACTGACTTGTTCTCCTGGAAAGAGCACTGGCTTGCGAGTCCTGGTCTTGGCTCCTACTTCAACTCCTGGTAGCTCCAGAAAAGTCACAATGTCTTGAGTTCAGCCTCTAAATCTATAAGCATGACAATATTGACTGAGGAGATTTCTAAATTATACTATGAGAACTTTTTATAAAACCAGAAACATCTGATTTACCATTTTAGTTTCTCCATTTTCTCCCTGTATCTGAATTATATGCACAAAAAGATGAACTCCACTAATGTTGATATCCTCTTTCCACCTATTAGCTCCATTTCTTTCTTCTATTCTTACTGTCTTTTCATTGTATTTTCTGAGGTAGGCAGGGAGGGTAGAGCCTGGTGTTTGTTATAAGTGGAAAAATTGAGCATCATGTTCAGATTGATATGGGAATTGGTAAAAACAACAGCAACAATAAAACAAAAAAAAGCCTTGAGATTAAATGATGTCTCCTGGTTGAATCTTTAGGGCCTTTCTTCTTGCATTTGCTGCCTCCTGATTTGTGAGGGAGGGTAGAAAAATAGGTTTATCAGACACCTGCCTCACAGAAGGACATTTGATTCTCATTCAAATTTGATGTTAATATGAGACTTATTTTTTGCCTTTTATAATGAAGGCAGCCCCCTGCATTAAGGAGAAGTCCCTGGGTATAAAAAGATGGGCCTTGCTTCTGAAACTGTTTCAGTCTAGTTGTGTTAACCTCTAGGGTCATGTGCTTGGTGCTTTCCTGCCAGGATCAGAGCAAGAAATGGGAAACTTCCAAATCTGAGACCCTCTTCTCCTCTCCCCTATTAAATGCTAACCTTGCAACACCTCCTTAAGGAGGGACATCTCCTGAAGAACAGGAAATAATGCGTGTCATCTTTAACACAACTCACAGCATTGGCCCTATACTCCTCTCGTCAGCTGTTGCTAGGTACTAAAAAGAGAAGGTGTAAGAAATTGCATTTTTTGGATTTTTCTCTTTTAAAGTGAAAAAAAAAAAAAAAAAAAAGACGTATTTATAGCTCTCTACCTAAACTCTGAATCCTCACAAATAGATCCTCCTCTGAATCTTTGCTTCACCCAAGCATCTCCCATTCTTTTTTCTAGTCTTAGTGATAGAGCTTCACTGAGAAAGTCAGGAAAACAAACAAACAAGCAAAGGGTTTTCCAGAAATATTAGTGAATGACAGACAAATCCTTCTCATAGACTCTGAGATCTGGAAAGGACCTCAGGGTTCATCTCCCCAGACTTCTTATGTAACAGAGAAATATGGGGCCTGGAGCCACTGGTGATTTGGTCAAAGTCACATGGCCAATTAGTTGCAGAGCTTGTCTTACATGTCTTGAATCTCAAGACAATGTTTCATCTACTGATGCTTGTAAAACATAATGAATGCCTACCATGTGCACACCAAAATGGTCTCTGTGAGATGCTATGTTTGTTAGAGGAGATAGGTCGTGCCTAAAAATCAATGGATAACCAACAATAAAAAGCAGGACGTAGTCATACTAAATGGCAAGTGAAAGACTCAGGCAGCACATGAAGAAAAGACTGTCATCACAAGGCTGATGAGAAGGGTGGACCTGGAGCCATCTGTGAAGAAAGAGTGAGAGTTAGAAAAATGAAGAGTGGGAATGGAATTCCAAACAGAAAAAATGGTGGGAGCAAGGTTTGGGAGGTATGAATATGTACAGCATTTTGAGGAGAAATGAAGGACTAGTATGGCTTGATCAGGTTTCTGGTTTCCATAAGGGAATAATGGGAGATAAGTTTGGAGAGATAGGTTGAGGGTTTTGACTGGATGGTATCCTAAAGGCAGCTGTGGAGCCATCAGAGATTATTGAGCAGAGCAGTGAAGTATGCACAGTGATAGATTGATGTGGCAGGAGGATAATAAGGATTAGAAGGAGGTAAGGACTGGAGGACAGGAAAGGCACTTGCTGAGATCAAATATTTCATCCTTTCCATGCCCCAGGTTTTTCTTTCTCTTTCTCATACTTACATTGGACCCTCAATAAATGCCAGCCATATTATTTCTAAGCTCTCAACTTTTCAGACTTTTCCTTTCCATTCGTGCCTAGGATATCATTGTTCAGACTGATGAATTCAGGGAATCCTAACTGAGAGGCAAATTTTGCAAGCCTTTTGGATGCTTGAATTTTGTTTTCAGCTGTGGCTAATACAAGGGAGAAGAGATGGACTTGGATTTGATAACATGCTATCTTCATTGATAAACAAGAGTTGAGCAATATTTTTTTTTCTTATCCAAATAGAGATTTCACCTTATACAGAAAGCTTTGACTTATGAAAGGAAGGAAAATTCCATTAAATAGTGGATATTTTACTGCCTTTTGGTCTGTTTAAATCCAGGGATATCCTTTTTCCACCCCTTCCTCTGAAAATTGTTTCCCTTGCTACAGTTACCATCCTTACTGAGGCCTCCCTGAGTGCCAGGCACTGTGCCACAGCCTGGAATGCATCTTCTCATTGTTTTCACCCCAGACTTCTGATGTAGATCAGAGAGGTTAAGTGATTGCCGGGTCACACAGCTTAAAAGAGGTGGAACCTTAATTTGACTCCAGGCTTTCTCTCCCCTACCCCATCTCCATTGTCCCTGCATTAGACTATAGAAAGGACTTAAAAACTCCCAAGATGTATTTGGGCCTCTCATTCTAAGCTGAAAATAATATGATATCTCTTAATATTCATGATGATTTAAGGCCAACTAGTTCTCATCTGACTCCTCCGGAGTACAAGAGTCAAATAGTGAAAGAAAGGCCCAGCTTGATGAGTTTTAAATGTGATGAGCAGGCTAGTATTTGGACTCATTGGGCATTGCCCTGTTGCTGGTGGCTCAGGGCAAACAGTGAACAGTAGAGCTAGGCTTAGGAAGCAAGGCATTCTCTTGGCCATGGAGGCCAAGAGTGGCCAAACCCAGTGGAAAGATGATTCGTTCAGCCCAGGCAGCTGGCAGACAGGAGGAAAACTACCAGTTTGAGAGCTTTGTGTGGCTTCACGGTTTTTTCAGAGGCTGAGCAAGGCTGCCTTGTTGCCTTGGCAACTGTAGGAATAATCCCAATGGATAAAGTTGCTGGTTCCTGCAGCCACATTCTGGGAACTTCTCCCCAGTGGCCAACTCACATTTGCTCCTTAATTAGCACCAGTGAGTGCAACCTGTCAATGAGACTGGAAATAAGTCTCCTTTGCAGTCAGTGAGAGAAGTATCAAAGTGAGTTTTCTTCTTTCTCTCTTAACTAAAATAATCCTAGGTTCAAAACTGCCTCTTATTGTATCAGCCACTCAGAAAACCCAATGTGTACATTTGGTTAAGAATTATTTTCCTTTCTTGTGATTGAGAATCATTTTTAATTCCAGTCAGCAGTGTAAGCTCACCAACCCCTTTACAAACCAATGGTAAACACAGGTGATGGGGTTAAATATTGTTATCCGCAATCATAAATATCTCTGCCTTTTCATTAACCCAGTGGCAGCTGCTGCTGATCCTGAATGCTGGCCCAGGCCATGGGTGCCTCTGACATAAACCCCCCTGGAATCTGATACTGTTATTTCCAATCAAAATGCTTAGGATTTAGCATTCTTTAAATCCAGCTGTGAGAAAATGTTGCCTTCAGCTTCTGTTCTGTTTTTAATTTGACTGGAAAGTTTTTGTTCAGCCTATTAAATGTAGTTGGAGGGTAAACAGCATGTAAAGCACTACTCTTATATAAAGAAATGTTTCCCAGACTAAGGTTTACATCTTTAGTGAAATGAAGAAGGCTGGCCGAGTCATGCCAGACACTTTTTTTTTTCTTTGCTACTGTGGATTCTGGGTAAGAAGAATCTGAGCAGGCATATCTCTAGGTCATTGGGCCCCATCCTAGGGATCAGCGTACTGAGGAGCACAAGCTAAGAACAGCTACACAGAGAATATGTCTGGGTTTATAGTGAAGCCATATTTCTTTTTATAAAAAAAATAAATAAATAAAAGTTATCAGTCTTCCAAAATATGCACAGCAAAACAGACACCAATTCTACAGGCATAATTCAGCAACACTGATTACATTCTTCAAGTTGAGTAACCATTCTCACTATCCTTTTCCAGATCATTCCACGATAATGAATATAAACTTGCTGA